CCCATGTCCCGCAAAGAGCGATACTCCTCATCTGCCGCTTGTTTCCAATGTTTCGCTTCCTGGCTACTCATCGCCTCTGACCACGATTTTGGATCACTGTGAGGTCTTGTCGCTTTGCCGTGGTGAAGTTTGTAATAATCAACTCTCTTAATTGGTCTACCACGCTTGCTGCGCGTCACTGGAGGTTCTACCGAGTGATGACGCTTATGTCCCGCTATTGGAGGTAGTTCATCCCATCCTGTCATTATTTTGTCATAGACCTCCTCTTCTAGCTCGGTATTTTCAACAACTGGCCCAATCTCTCCCTGATCGGACTGTAAGTTCCCTTCCCTATGGGAGACCTGATTCTCATCTGACTGACGACCAGCTTCCTCAGTATCATCTCTCTGTCCTAGCTGATCAGATCTCTCGGATGGACTTATCGATGCATGTTCGCTATCATATTCACTGGCACTATCAACGGAAGGTGACCTAACTGATCGATGTGGAATTGAAATCAGTTTATCATTCACGACTGATACTTGTGGCCATTGCCCATCACGAATTACAGGAACAGCCGGAGGTTGTGATACTGGCTTATCTTTCGAAGATATTATGGTCTCTTGTCTATCAGGTCTTTGTTGTTGACTGTCTGACGCCGTTTGAATGGTCTGCAGTGGAACCATTGGAGGCACTTTCTGATTTGATGACTCCTGACCACTAAATAATTCCGGAACGACAGGTGGCGATAAATCCTGCTGTTCTGACAGCTGCTGATTCCCCTCTTCTCTCATATTCGAAATCTCAGGCAAATTTATATTCGGTTGACTGATCGACGAAGATAGCGGCTCCCCCTCAAACCTGTCTCTGGTTTGATCTCTCTGAGAAGGATTCTGCAAGGTACTCTCTTGCATTCCTTCGACAGGTAATGGATTTTCACTGGCCCAATAATCAAAGGTTCTCTGCTGGTCTGATTTGGTGAGCATATCCCCGAACATGATATCCTCATTGAAAGTGACGTGTGGAGTACAACTTTCTATCCATTTCCAGCCATGTTTTTGGGTCCAGCGAGGATGGTAAATCAAATAATTTTTGCTGGTATTCTTAGGAAAGCCAACAAACCACCCTTTCTCTGCTCTTGCTTTAAACTTTTCCGGTTTCGGATCGATAAGCTTATACGCTTGACAGCCAAATCGAGGTAAGCAAGAGAAATCGACCTTTTCATGGTGCGGCTGCTTCAAAGCTTGCAAAAAGTCGACTATTGGTACCCTCTTGGTACGCAGGCAATATAGCCTATTCGTTATAAAACACGCGTGTTCCACTGCCCATGGCCAAAAGCATGGCGGCATTTGTGCGTCGATCAACATAGAGCGCGCCTTTCTTAGGATGATCTTGTTGGAGGCTTCTGCAGCGCCGTTCTGTTCGGGTGTATTTGGTGCTGACACATCAGTGCGAATACCATTCCGGATACAGTATTCTCTCATACGGCTAAACTCTGTGCCTCCGTCTCTGAAGATGATGCGAATCCTCTTTCCAAACTGGAGATATTGATATTCACTCCACTGTATCAGCTGTGTCGCAATTTCATCCTTTCCGGCCGTGGTTATAGACCACCTCATCCGTGTTTTTGCATCCGTAAGTATGACTGCATATTTGTGACCGTTAAACGCTTCCGTTAATTTCCCTACTGTATCGACAAAGATCTCATCTAATGGTTCACTTGGTGTTGGTCTTGGCTCCCTCGACACAAACCTCTGCGCTTTACTCAAGTGACAAGTCTCACAGGTAGTGAGATCTGAATAGTCGATTCCATCCATTCCAAGCGAACATTGTGCAGTCTTCTTCAGGATCTGCTGACCCGTGTGTCCCAATCTCTGATGCCATCTATGTGCATTCGTAACTTTTGGGATCCTAGCTATTCCTGGTGCTGCTAATTTGTTCGAAATGGAGGCTCTCTCTCTCTGTCCCAGCGGTTTGATATATAACACATGGTCGATTGTCTCTAATCTTGCTATCGGTTCATTGTCTTTGATTCGTATCAATAATTCGTTAGCATTAGCTGCAACAATGCCATGTTGATCCTTTAATTTTCCCGCTGATATAATGTTGCATGTGGAGTTGGGTGAAAGAAGGGATTCATCAAGCTCCAGTGATTGACTACCAATCCTTACAAGACTGGTTCCCTGATATGTCAACACTGAATTTCCCACAGCTTGATCAAACCTGAAGGGTTTTCGCAATTTATTCAGCGTGGTGAAGTCACTTTTGTGACGAATAAAGTGGTGCGAGGCACCAGTGTCGTACAGTAGAGGGTTTTTGATTAAACTAGCTGTTGTAGCCCTAGCTAGTCTGCAACTTGACATCCCCTCGCTCTCACTGTCTTCATCACTGCTCCCAATTGCGACACTCACGCTTGGTTTTCCCTTCGCTTTTCCCTTTTTCGACTTTTTCCCTTGCCTCAACTCTGGGTGCTGCTTAAAACAATTCTTGTTTCTGTGTTGATGGGTACACAGCACGCAGTAGTCATTTGGGCCCCCAACAGCTTTCTTCTTCCCTCCATCGTTCCTCTCGCCCTCACCAGTCATCACCATCACCTGCCCCGACGACTTCCCTTTCGACTGTCCAACTTGGCGAAGCGTTGACATCATCGACTCGAGCGGCACATACCTGTTCTTTCCGTCTAGGATCTTGGTCTGCCTCCAAGTATCCAGCCAATCAACACTCTCTGTTCCCAAAACGAAAAGAAAACTTGCTAGCCCATGGCGTACAGTGTATGGATTGTCCGAGTCAGAAATAGATTGCTGGTGATGCATTGACTCAGCGGCACTGTTAACGCTCAAGTAGTGCTGCATAAACTTATCGCAGTATTCTTCGATTGTTGTGAACTTTGTGTTGATTAGATTTCTGACGGCACTCTCATACGGTGTGGCCGCACTTTCCTCTCGAGTCGTCGCTATTGTGTCGAATATTTGCTTCGCTGACATTCGCCGAAAATTCTGGGGACGAACACTTGGACTTAGTCGTCGGAGCAGGACATTTTTAGCCTCAATTTCTCCCTCTTTCCACCTCGCAAGTTCCTCCGCGTACTTCGCCGAGGTCTTGCAAAACTCGTCGTCGGTTTGATTTTCTCCCCTGATCGGTTCACGAGGTCGAAATGCCGGTTGAATTTCCTCGAAGTCATGAAATACATGGGCTAACCGACCTTTCTTGATCAGGGCCGCCTGGAGATCCGATTCCCAGTCCGCAAAGCTTACTCCAGGGGTCAAAACGATTGCTGAGCTTTTATTCATATTGTAAGGTGGTGTATATCTTTGGAGAAGTTAGGATGACTGGTTTAAAGCATTATCGAGGTGCCACAGAGAAGGACTCCGGGCTCATAACCTGTTATATTAACTAGGCTATATGGGAGCAGGACGATGGATACTCTTGGGGAAGTTATGCTCACAGTAGGTCTCTATAGTCGCTGTCGCGTGTGTTCTCGTGATATGTAAGACTTGACTCTATATTCTCGTATAAAGGAAACTTAGTTACAAATGAATGGACGGAGGTTGAGACCTCCTTATATCTTGCTCCAGACTTACTGTGTTGTTCACAGCCTAGTGCTAGAACATTCCCTTATGATATCATTTCTCTCCTACGAGAAATGACCAGCTCGTTCTCTCTCAGTCCATCAGTCTCTCGCTGATTCCGTTATCTCTATTCCATCTAGTTCTAGTTTGGTCCAGTATACTCACACATGCATCACACATGCATTACACACTAAACACCCTACGGTTTAGTTCCACAGTCACGTGCATATGCTATGACGCGACCTAAAGCATGTACCATGGTAAGTTACATGGATAACACAACACTTATCGAAACCTTCACTATTATGCTGCCATTTAATTCCTCTACTGTAACTTCCGCTTAAAATTTCTGCAAATTCTCCGGCTCATAATCTTTTTTAGCTGACACTCCCTCTACCTTACTCCTGATCACGGAGACTGAGTAAGCAAATAATAGCTTAAAACTAAACCATCGATAGCCCACCCTTTATAGAATGTTTTGGTTGAACTGTCGGCGAAATTCTGTAGCTATCTCATCTGTGACAATTAGTTACAGGTCGAGATGGTAGTGTCCTTGGTCGAGGCGCAGAAGCAATTAAGGCCGGTACTCAAACTGTACCTTCATAGGGCGCAGTAGCCACGGGAATTAGAAGTTACAGTTAGATCTTAGATTGTGACTACTAAATTTTATATTTTTTGGTCTGCTTTTGTTGGTGTTGAGATGAATCTGGTTGGAAATGATATCTCAGGAAATTTGAGAAAGCGAATGCTGTCAGATGATTCTAGCATAAGTATCAAAAAGATTTGTAACCATCTGTATTCTTGTTTATGGTGAAAACGATTGGAGTATATGACTTAAGCAATCGTGGAATCTCTGTAGGTCAGGTTCTCTATCAAATACGAGCCAACGCTTCTCCTCGCGACCGCCATCTGAAGAAAAGCCTCAATTCAGTCTTTGTCACAACTGGCTCTAGAGTATGAGGGAATATTCACCCCAAAGTTCGAAGTGGGTACCAATGACAAGTGTTCAGTCCGGGTCAATCGGAAAGCCATTGTGTTCTAGAAATGTTGTAAACTTTAACGTAGTAATATAATTGTCTCACGTGATAATAAATTATGACATTTAGCGTCCTGAGGGGCAATCGATTAGGAACTGAGGTATTGCCATATAAGACGAACACAGTGCTTCGTGCAAATTGTATCTCATCTTGAATCAACCGTATATTTGATGCGAATTTTATTGTATTTTATTTCAGAGTCAAGCTGACTTCCCGCATTCTCCACGACCACAGCTTCAGTCCGTTATCTTCGATAGCAAATAATTGCGAACTTCATATTTTACAGCCTTAGAAATTAAAGTTACAACATATGTAAACATATGTAAACATTCTGGAAGCGGAATAGATAACAGGTATCTAATTTATTCCATGCAAGTCAATTGTCAGACAATCTTGTGACTCAGAACTTCTCAAGATGACCGTGAGTTTGAATTACCCTATCCAACATCATAGGTCTAGACTACTAGACTCTGAATTGCGACAGTCAGAATTGACTAGATATCGTGATTAGGAAACCATGACAGACAAAACTGAAATACAAACTCAGCACGATGATGCCCTTCTAGAAAACAGTGAAATCGATGAGTCACTATACAGTCGTCAACTATATGTCCTTGGACACGAAGCTATGAAGCGTATGGGTGCTTCCAACGTATTAGTTGTTGGTCTTAAGGGACTAGGTATTGAAATAGCAAAAAACATCGCACTTGCAGGTGTCAAAAGCCTATCTCTCTATGATCCGAATCCAACAGTAATTTCAGACCTTTCCTCACAATTTTTTCTTCGACCTGAAGATCTAGGGGCTCCCAGGGCCACTATTTCAGCTCCACGTGTAGCTGAATTGAATGCTTATACGCCTGTAATCATTCACGATTCCTCATGGTATTCCACATTCACTTTATTTGGTAGTTTTAAAATGCTAATGTTTGTTCAGTCTGACCTCTAACCTATCCCAATTTGACAAATATCAAGTGGTTGTACTTACAAATACATCACTAAAAGACCAGCTCATAATCTCCCAATATCTCCACCAAAAAGGTATACATCTCATCATCACTGACACATTTGGGTTATTTGGATACATATTCTGTGACTTTGGAAAAAACTTTGTGGTCGCGGACGCTACCGGAGAGAATCCCATAAGTGGAATAGTTGCCGGAATAGATGAAGAGGGTCTCGTATCTGCCTTAGACGAAACTCGACACGGTCTTGAAGATGGAGATTACGTTACTTTCACTGAGCTCGTTGGAATGGAGGCACTAAACCACGCGGAACCTAGAAAGGTCACAGTAAAGGGTCCTTATACTTTTTCAATTGGAGATGTCGGTGGCTTAGGGCAGTATCAAAAGGGTGGGATATTTACACAAGTTAAGAAGCCGAAGGTTATTGATTTCAGCCCCCTCTCCGAATCAATCAAAGGTCCTGAATACATTATATCCGACTGGGCTAAGTTTGATCGTCCTCAGCAATTACATATAGGGATCCAGGCTATACATGCATTTGTTGAGCAGTTCCAGCGCCTTCCCAACCCCATGGATACTGAAGATGCATCAATCATAATTGGTTCTGCTAAGGCATTCGTGGCAGAAGAGAAGCTTGAGATTGAAATAGACGAGAAACTAATCTCTGAACTCAGTTATCAGGCTCGAGGAGACTTGAATCCAATGGCTGCATTCTTTGGAGGACTAGCAGCACAAGAGGTATTGAAAGCTGTATCTGGAAAATTTACACCCATCAAGCAATGGCTGTATTTTGATTCTTTAGAATCATTGCCAGAAAATACAATAAGAACAAAGGAATCATGCAAACCACTCAACACCAGATATGATGGTCAGATAATGGTTTTCGGAAAAGAATTCCAGGAAAAGATCGCAGGAATTTCTCAATTTTTGGTAGGTGCAGGTGCGATAGGTTGTGAAATGCTTAAAAATTGGGCAATGATAGGACTCGGTACTGGGCTTAATGCCAAAATCAGTGTCACGGATATGGATTCTATTGAAAAGAGTAACCTGAATCGACAATTTCTATTCAGATCAAACGATGTAGGGAGCTTAAAGAGTGATTGTGCTGCCGCTGCTGTTGAAAGAATGAACTCGGACCTCAAAGGTCACATAGTCACACTACGAGACAGAGTTGGTGTCGATACTGAAAATGTCTTCAACGAAGATTTCTGGCGTAAGCTAGACGGTGTGACTAATGCTTTAGATAACGTCGATGCTCGCCGCTATGTGGACCAGCGATGCGTGTTTTTCCAAAAACCATTGCTAGAAAGTGGAACACTTGGAACAAAAGGAAATACTCAGGTTGTAATTCCTCGATTGACCGAATCTTACTCTAGCTCTCAGGATCCACCTGAGCAATCTTTCCCTATGTGTACCTTGAGAAGCTTTCCTAACCGGATTGAGCACACTATTGCTTGGGCACGGGATCTATTCGACTCGCTTTTCGTAAAGCCGGCAGAGACGGTGAATCTTTATTTGACACAAGCCAACTACTTGGAAACAAATTTAGGTGGGGGTGGCTTGGACAAGGCAAACCTTGAAATGATACGTGACTTCTTAGTTGAAGAAAAGCCACTTGGTGTTGAAGATTGTATCAAATGGGCTCGATTACAATTCGAAAAGCAGTACAATAACGCGATTCAGCAGCTTCTATATAATTTTCCGAAAGACTCTATATCATCAAGCGGGCAGCCATTCTGGTCTGGCCCAAAACGAGCTCCCGATGCGCTTAAGTTTGATCCCAGAAATGAGTTTCACTGGACTTTTGTTGAAGCAGCCACTCACCTACATGCATTCAATTATAGTATAAATACCAAAAGTTTAGATGCCAACACTATTCAAAGGGTTCTAGACAACATGATTATCCCTGACTTTAGCCCGAACGCAGCCGTAAAAATACAAGCTGACGATAGCGAACCAGTGAGTGTGTGCTCTTAATTTTTAAGCCAAAGTTAATAGCTTCAGGATCCCAACGCAAGTAATGCGGCACCTCAGGATATGGATGAGGTTTCAGGGATAATAAAGAGACTACCAAAGCCCAAAGATATGGCAGGGTTTAAGCTTACTCCTGTTGAATTCGAGAAGGATGATGATTCAAATTTTCATATTGACTTTATCACAGCTGCAAGCAACCTTCGTGCCGAAAATTATAAGATAGAACTCGCAGACAGACACAAGACAAAGTTTATTGCCGGAAAAATCATACCTGCAATTGCCACTACAACAGCCCTTGTCACTGGGCTTGTAATACTTGAGCTCTATAAAGTTATAGATGGGAAGACGGATATTGAAAAGTACAAGAATGGTTTTATCAACCTTGCTCTACCTTTTTTTGGATTCTCCGAGCCAGTAGCAAGTCCTAAAGCTTCTTACAAAAGTCACAATGGAGACGTTAAAATCGACAAGATATGGGACCGTTTCGAAGTCAATGATATAACATTACAAGAGTTCCTCGATTACTTGTATGAAAAAGGACTAAAGCTCACCATGTTAAGTTCAGGAGTCAGTTTGCTATATGCAAGTTTCTTCCCAGCACCCAAGCTTCGGGATCGCTACCAGCTAAAACTTAGCGAGCTAGTGTCACACATTTCCAAAAAACCTATCCCAGCGCATCAGAAAAGCGTGATCTTCGAAGTTGTCGTCGAGGATCAGACAGGTGAGGATGTGGAGGTACCATTTATCACAATGAACATGTCATAAAGACATTCAGACGATAATTCTAAACTTAACGCCTATCAAGATATGGTATGGTCTTATATATGGACATGAAGGAATTCTGGCACTTTGGGTACGATAATTGTAGCATACGCTACTTTTTAATATTCGGATCCCGAGGTTTCAGCCTGGCCAAGAGAATGAAATTTAAACGCTCTAAACAGTAGATAAACTCTTGGCCATCCAATATTAGAGCTAGCCACTTGTATTTTTCACCAATAGTATGGCTACTAATACGATTTATTATCATAAATTATCTCCGTAATCAATACCACGAGATTTGAATGGTTTTTCTTCAATCCCGAGTCTATGACAAATTTCCCTTGATCGGAGAAATAGAATCGCTTTCCTACCTACGTGACATGACATGAAAATGGTCTACACCCTATGCGCAATTTTTTGGTCGTTATACGATTTGGGCTGAATTGGATTGTATACCATGTGCTAGAAAATTAATTCAATTTCAAATATCATAATTATGCCTGATTGAGAAAGGGCTCTGAAACATGACTAATCTAGTCGTCCATGGGACCCTTACACCAAGCTACCAAGCCAAGTCTCCCCATAGCTTTGCTACTACACGCTTCAGTCCTTCATACCCCAATCCTTGTTTGTCCCATCCCTGTTTTTTCTCACGAAATAAGATATCATTGGCGTATGATTTATTCGGACTAACTGCAAATAATATGAGTGTAAGTAGACTTGTAATTGCACAAGTTTAGATCCAGTTTGAAAGCCAAAGTACGATCTACGTCCAGACATATCGGACTAGTGATAATGCTCATGGGCGTGACTACACTGCCTCTGGGTTCCAAAATGTTAACCTCGAAACTGGGTTTTTTAAGGGATCAGCCCTGTAGGCGCAGCTGGGCCAGCTCGTAATAGGTTAGTATGTCTCTCGTCATTACCCCGCTCGCCATGAAGTATGGTCCAATTGTCTTCTTCTGACATTCGGTAAGAAAAACACATTTCCAACGAAATTTTTAGTCGCCTGGCCTACACAGCCCTTGAATCATAACACCATTATCAAGTCATCCTCTGTTCTAGCAAACAATGTCTCTCGAAAAGTCTGCTTCAGAAACTAAAGATTGCAAGCATCTAACTCGCGATCAATGTATTGAAATAAGAACATAAAGAAGACTTGGCTTGACATTACAACATATATCCGACGAACTTAGCTTCACAAGAAAGCAAGTGCAACTTACATGTGCACGAGAGACAGAGATTCCTAAGCCTTGCAAAAGATGCTTATTTAAGTTAAGCGCGGAACAAGTTGATGAGCTTGACTCTTTCGTCCGGGACTCTCCTGAAAACCGACAGATGTGCTATTTGGAACTAGCAATGGGACCTTTCAGTCACTTGGGATACAATCTGCATTAACTTTCAAATGCCCTAAATAAAATAGGTTACAGCAGATGCATTGCTCGTAAGTGGCCTCCGTCAAGTGTGGTTAACATGCACGAAAGATTACAGTTCGCCCAATTACATTAAGATTGGAGCGATGAACAACGGAGTCGCATATCATGGACTGATGAAACCTGGGTATCGGGTGATTCTCATATGAAACCTCGTGTCACAAGAAAGGTACGTTAAAATTCTATCTAAATCTTCCTTATACTAACAGCAGAGTTTAGCCTGATGATGAGTTTGATGAGACATGTATTGTGGCTCGCCATGCTCATGGGTACAGCTGGATATTTTGGGGCTCATTTTACGGATCACAGAAAGGCCCATTCCTAGTCTGGGAGAAGGATTGGGGATCAATGAGGGCCTTATCCTATTGTGAAAGGATTTTGCCTCTTTTGAATTAATTTCACGTGGAAAATCCAGAAATTCTATACATGCACGACAACGCACCATGTCATAAATTGTAATCAACAATTGAGGCGCTGCGTGAAGTTGGAATAACGCCTATTAGATGGCCACCTTACTCTCCGGACCTGAACCCGATCGAGTCATTGTGGAACATCTTGAAAAACCACATTCAGGTAAATAGTCCTGAGATAGATGGGGTCAGGTTTGTGCGCTCTGCCACGTTGAAGACATTGCTACAGGAAGCATGGGACTCTATACCTTCTGAGGAGCTATTGTGCCTAGTTGGTAACATGCACGAAAGATGTGTAGCAGTAATAAAGGCAAATGGAGGGTACACAAAGTATTAGGATGGAGAAGACACACAAAACATGTACTACGCTTTCACTTTAGTTGCGAGCTATACTGAGGGCTTCGATGTAGACTTTTGTAATACAGAGCAATCATATTTGAAATAGACGTGTATTTTTTAGAGAATATCAATTGAATTTTTTTACTTTGAATTTTAAATGAGGACCATTGTACTTTTCCTATAGAGTTGAAAACCGTCCCTATTAATTTTGACTTTCACGGAATGTTGTTGGATAGTACCCCTGATTTCATCACTAGTCGATAAACTAGACATGGGACTGCATGAAGACTAAACCAATTAAGGCAATATATGCAGGGATCTACCCCATTCATTTTGACAATTTTACTTTTGCTATCCTTAAGAGACTTTCTGATTTTCCTGGGGTTTGCTCCATGTACCGCGGTGCCACGTTGTCAAGTTTGTATAGGGGCTTTGGCAGGGTTTTTAGCGTGTAAACTAAGACGCCTTAGGCATAGTCACCTTCCATATTGGAGTTAGCCCCCGTATTTGTGCAAATTTTTGAAAAAATTTGTATGATAGTTTTTATCTGGACACCATAGTTTGTAGTGGGTCTCTCCTTCCTACTAAACCTAATTTGTATCATGATCGGCTGCATAACATTTGTCCGTTTTTGCTACTTGACTTTATAACTTATTTACAAGAGTTCTGTAAAACTTAGAGAGGTCTTCATGTGAATTTCACGTGAATCGTCAGAAAATGAAAGCGAAGACAAGAATAAATTGATAAATTGTCTCCGTGCTACGAGTCCATCGTAGCACTATAATATCTAGTTCTACCCTATTGATGCCCCTGATCATCATTACTAGCCTGACATGCTTTCACGCAGATCGTGCTTTCGCTTTTGGACTGGATTCAGACTTATGCAAGCACAAGTCTGCTTACAAGTTCAAAGGTTTTCATATTACAAAGTTGAGCCACATTCTTATCCTGACCTTAGATCTGAGCATGTGGCTGGAATATTTTCAGGCCTTAATATCTGGTCAGTCCCCCATTCGCATCTACCACAGTCTGACATCTTGCTGGCATACTCTGAATGAGTCTCACAATATCTTCGGAAGACACGGAATCCCATGCCTCCTTTACAATGTTGCGAAGACTATCTTGAGTTCGCTGCTTTCCGCAACCCAGATTCGGATGATGACGCTGGATGTAATCCTTCATCTTATTCCATACAGCTTCAATCGGGTTAAGATCAGGCGTGTTGGCCGGCCAGATAATCGGTTCAAAAAGCCTCTGACTCATATGTTCCATTGTAATTGCGGCCGTGTGGGCAGGAGCATTATCCTGCATTACGGAAAGCCAAGGTCTCATCGAGACCATGCCATCGATAAGAGGAACTATTTTCTCGCAAAATTTTTGGGAGTTATTGGATCCCCATTCCTTCTCCCAAAACAAACAAGGGCCTTTTTCTGGCCCTGCGAAGCAACCCCAGAACATCTAACCGACCCTATTCTTCGATTTTTCTCCAACACAATCAGCGTTGTATTCTTGGGAAGTCTAGCTCATAATGTTAGAACATCAAATTACCATCTTCTTATTGAGCAATTTACGAACACTTCTTGTTACCTATTCTCTAGAATGTCTTCCATCCTCTACCCAAGTTTCGTCTGTGCGTAAAACTGACGTTGAGTCTTCATATGTCCAATTGAGATGAGCTTCGGCCCATTCTCTGCGTCTTCATAGTTTACTAAGATACTGGAGGCTCTAGACGAGCCATATGTCGCTGATATCCTTTTTTCAAGTTCTTTTTGTATTATCCGCTCGCTAACACCAAGGTGTCTAAGGGGGCCAGAGGCGAGTTCCAGATATGTTTTGCGGCGGTTTCCAGGTGAAGACTCAACGTAAGATATAATCTGATCAACATCATCTGCTTTCAGCCTTGAGGGTGTTCTTTTTCTCTTTTTGGGGGGGGACAGTTCCGCGGCGCAGTGAATATCTAACTTGTCCCCGAGATATGCCCAGTTGCGCGGCAATCAGCGTCTGGTTTTTGCCAGATTCATGAAGCTCATAAATCTTAATTTTTCTTTTAATTTATATTTGTTCATATCTAATTTTTCTACTTACTAAAATGTTTTGATCTCTGGATAATTGTTTGATTCAAGGTGTTGAAGGTGGATTCATCTGTAAAATAAGGTTATTATCGAGTAAAGCCATATGTCTTCTGAATAATTAACTTTGTATTTGAGAAATCTAATTCTTATTGTAACTCAAGCACAGGGTAAGAAGAGCTGTGTAATTTATTAGCGGTCGGCGTTCATTAAAGCAATGGTAAAGAACTAAAAAACGGGCTGGATTTGCGTAAAACTGAGGGTGATGCGAATTCAAATTGTGCCCTCGGTTTAGGCCTGGAAATACAGGACAAGTATTATGTACCCTGTCGAAATCGGCGCTAACAGGGGTGCAACTCCTGATACGAATATGCGCCCCATATAAATACACTGAGAACTTGAAATCGTGGCACCACGGTAGTGCACTTACACTGATCATCCGGTCTGGATTACGTTATATCCTTGTCGACATCGTCCCATCTTTTCGTCCATTGCTATCCCTACTTCTCCCGCAAGCCGGAAATGATTTAGTTAGCTTTCAGCCAGGATCCACTTTGTAACACTCTCCCAATTATCTGGATTGTTCATCATTGCCGCCAAAAACCTATCTCTTGCCCGCCGAGGATACGCCAAGACCACATGTTTGACATTTTGAGACGGATATCCAAACTGGCAATTTGGATTAATCACTCCAGGGACTTTCCTTTGATACAGATAAGAATTGATACCCATGTGCTCACTTCCCATCTGAGCTGCAATACTGTTTTGAACCCTGCCCAGGTTTTGGTGTATATTTAAGGGCGAAGTACTATAGGTAATCCTTTTTCTGCCTGTTGTCATGCATGTGACAATGTTTGCGGCTCTCCAGTGTTCGGAGTCTGCCGAAGCTCGATAACTAAATTGTCTATATTTCCTTTGACGTGTCCATGAGTTTTACCACTCCTGGAACGCGACCACCTTATCGGCATCTTTTTGTCTACCTTTTACATTCTCCTTGCCACAAAGTCTGGTCTATTCCACAACGTCTAGCTTTCGATTCTTGGCGTGCCTGTTCTCGATCCCCCCGACGGTCTGCTGGGATTTAGTGCATGCGGATAACTTGGTTCTCTTGACAGGTAGTCCTTCTGATAATCCAATGTGCTGGACACTCCATCGTTTCAGGTATATATCTGTAGGGAGAAGCAAAGATTTGTGTTCTAGTAGCCTGCTCCTAGCTTCAAATATTTCTATTGGGAAGCCAACGTCTTCAAACTGATGGAAATGATTATCTGCAAAAGCTGAAATACTTCTGGACTACTCAAATCATTCTGCACTATTTCAAAAAAGCAAGTCGAAATGTACCGTATGATTTAAACCTGGTTTTCGGTTGATTGCTTGAAAATTGATTCATTCTGCGTCATTTCCTGTACTTATCATTCAGCGAAAAGAGATGAGAGTCCGGATACATCTTCATCTCGAGTGATTCGTTACTTTGGGTAGCTCCTCTAGATCGAACTTATGGTTCCCATCACACAGTCCGTTCATACCTGATACCTGATTTGTTCAGCCAGAATTAGGCTAGTCTTAACTCCTTTGCTTTCTGGTAGTCTGCTGTAAAAAATGAAGTTGTTGATCTTCATCAACCGTTGAGAAGAATAATTCTCGGTTAAAACATTAGAGAAATTCGGCCACTTTTTCTGTTCTTGAGATTGTTTATGGTCGATCATCCATAAACAAATGGATTCCATACTTGGGCTTCGAGTTGATGTAGTCGATGCCTCGATATTTCTTAATATTACGCTGCACCAGTAAAAGACCCATAGTCTGGTCCAATCACAATTGACTACCTGCGGTAATTACGGTGAGAATGCCCCTTCGCAGTGAATAGAAGCCAGGACTTCCCATCCTGCGCTCGAGAATCCAATTCACATATAGATGTGGACCTCTCGTAGGGGGACAATGACTCAACACCTTTCCATAATATCATCTAGGAACCACCCGCTCCTAAAGAGGGACCTGCAGAAGTGATATTTATTCCGAAACCAGCTAGTAGGTCTTTTATTGCCAATAGGTCTATGGCGCCTTCCGTTACTATAGACGGCACAAAGAACACGGGCTAGGCTACTTTTTAGCATTTCAACGCAGTTGCCGATGGACCCGGAGGCGCGAATGAAAAAAGTAGTAGAAAAGAGGCTGTGAAGGCAAATGCTGCTCCTCTGGTTTAGACGTAGTTCCATAGCACCCGACTGACTGGTCTGTCTTTGAATTCAATCCTGATTCTGAGAATATGATTCGTGTATATGACTGATTCAGTGATACTGGACGCGAACTTGATGAGGTACAGAATTAAACATAACGTATACTCCAACTGCTGTCTAGGCTTTGTCCAATGCTGCGACCTCTCTCCTAGTCTACAGCCGCTAGGCTCTTTTTTTGCATCATATTTTAATTGCGCATGCAGCTACCTAGCTATGACACAATATCAGAGCAAAAGTACATGGTAGGTGACTCAAAAAGGAAGAGCACTCATGCCTCGGATTTCATTTGCACGTACCGCTGAGAAGTTGTGGTGGCTTTTTCTTCACCCCAAGTCAGCCCTCGTCCGTGAATACCCACCCAAGGAGAATTCAAAATTTTGAATTTCCAAGCATGCCTTCGTCTTTTTTTTTTTTTTTTTTTAAATCATTTAATGTGTATTCAGCTATCTAGCTATGACACATGACCGGCGCTATGTATACATGTGGGATGACTCTTTTGACGTTAGAGACACTCATACTCTGGATTTCATTTGCAAATACCACTATGAGGTATGTTTGCTTACACAAACAGTCGACCCTCCTCCGTTACATGCCTTCGTCATCCATGCATGCCAGCGCCGCGAGATAATTGATTGTGTTTTGCTGGTTTCGAAGCAGCGGTCTCCTATCTCGTGTGGGATATGAGTTCTAGCTATCAAGGCATAACTTGGGAGACCGCCCCAGATGATGTACCACTGCACCATCCAGCCATAGCAGCAATTTTAGTGTCACCTGCACTCCATCGAATTTAGCGTAAGCATTTTCCCGCCTATCTGTCCTGATACCTCCCACACCCATGCCCACAATCTGCCTCGTCACGTTTGGGCATCACGATTCTTGTCCTCCTGCGGATATTTGCACTCACGTGGACGTATACTTGAATACTGGCTGCAGCCGAGACTGGGTCGATGTTGGGTGTGGTCGTAGAGACCAAAATGCAATTAGCCATACTTGTGTATTTGATTAGGCTTTAGTCGGAATTGAAGACATTACGAGTGACAGCTTGATGCGATAGAAAGCCTTCAATGATTGCCTCATGTCTAAGCCTCTTCGGTGCCCCGATGTTCTTTTAAACTCGGCTCTGCAGAGTTATTTCACTCCCACGTTCGCAGAAGACACGGCTGGTAGATTGCTCATCTACGGCTCCCCATGAATAAAGCTTCTAGTCAGGTACCAACCCAATCACGTTGACGCTCACTCCTCCGCATGAGTTAAGCGAGACTAGCTGTATTAGGAGGTGTAATCTTTATCACCCCTTCCGGCGACTACATAATAGTTGACCCACTCACACCATCCAATTTCAAGCCGCAGTGTTCGGTACTTATCTCAAGCTAGACCGGATATCAGTATGTATAACAGATAGTTTCCCCGGTGTCTAGTTGAGTTGCCCCGTTTGTCCGCCACGGCCCCACAAATATTACCTTCACGGAAATTACTCCATGAACCTATTCAAGCCCTGGGTGGGACTAAACGGATGAGGGCCGACCTGGGGGTTAGAAAAGGCCGCCATAAATTCAAAGTAGTACTTGCAATTGAAATCCAAGGCATGAGCGGTCTAGTTCTGGATTGAGTCATTGAGGACTTTTTTTTCGATATTGAGTCAGGGCTAGCTGCATGCGCAATTCAAATCTGATGCCAATCAAAATAAACCATTCATGGCTGGTAGAGTCGCCTCTGATTCCAAAGACCATAAGCATCTAACCTTCCCCCTCCGTGGTTAGAATGCTTAACATGTACTTCCTACCCGCAAGCCCTCCAACGTTCGAACCAAGATCAGTGCACGACTACAAAACCTCTTCTGGTTTGTGCGGAATAATATTATCCAACGAAATTCAAGGCCGAATAGTCACACAGTATTGAAGACACTAATTGTGATAAATTATTAATATCTTGATTTGTATAGAGTAAGGAAAGATATTATAAATCAGAGTTGGTACTTGTAGATTGCGTACTTCACAAACATTACGTACAGATTCGTATCTAAGTCTTGCACTAAGCTTAAATGGCTTGAGGTATGTTGTACGAGAAGTCTATGAGTAGTGTATTCGAAGATTTTAAAATTATCTTTCGTGACCAAGCTTGTTATACAACATCTTGCCTTGGGATAGACCTGTCGCTGGCTATGGCCGACTTCATCTGTCAAAGATCACTACTATCAGTCAGTACCTTTACTAAACGCTTTGATCTCAGCTTACTTTGCATTGGTCTCACTATCTAGCGCTTCGGACTAAAGATGTAAAGGGCTACTTAGCCAGAAGAAGGCTTAACTTGGTTATTAACAGTTAATATTGTGATCTTTTCCTTAAAATGGCACCTGTATCACAGTTTATCTCCAATGCCAGTAACCTGGGCTAGTGATATTTTACAACATCATTTATTCAGTATCGTGGGACGCATTGTTATATCGTTATCATTTCACTAGTTCTATTCCCATTGGTCGCCTTCTTCTTGACCACCTTGCCCCTCACCCTAACAGTTGGTAGAGAAAACCCCTCATACTTCTTTCCCAAGTCGTTACACACCTGCTCCAACATGTGCTCCTCCATAGCAAACAGTTGACGAAAATCCCACCATATCTGCAAGATTGCTTCGGGTGGAAGCCGGGGATCCCGGAAGGCAGTGGTTATATCATAATCAGGGGCTTTGGTATTTATCGGACTTATTGGAGATGGTGGTGCTTCATTTTCTTCTTCGGACGAGAGCACCAGTATAAGCTCTTCCAGTCGTGGAAAGCTACGGAGGAAAGATGCCTTGTTGTATCCTTCCCAAGGTCGCTTAATTCGTGGATCAACGTGATCTATAGCCACACAGCGTAATTGATCGAAGCAGGATGCCGGGTTTGGCGCTTCCGAAAGGTGACCGGTAGTCTCAATCTGTCTATCTTCGACAATAAGGTCTCTAAGTATTCTGAAGTTTTCGTCATATCCCATTTCGCCACATCGCGGTAAATAGAGGGTGTCGAGATAGGGATTAAAGTATATTCTAGCAGGCGAAGTAGAGGTGGCGAAAGCAAGACTGTAGTGTTTTTGAGCGACGATTCGCGATTCCCGACATGTCGACAAAAGGGTAGGGTGGGCAGTGGGAGAGTTGAAGGAGTTAGAGCTGCTATCGTAGTGAATGACGAGGGTCCGAGATTGGAGAGCAAGAGCGTAAATTTCACAGCGTAGCTCGGTGGGTAATTGCTGAAACTGCGAGAAATGAGAAAGTGTTCGGCAATGCGACGAATGCGCCGAGAAGAAAGGGTCGACAGGAGCGGAGGAATGAGTAGTGGAGATGGTGAACGGCATGGTGCTATCGCTGAGAATTGGTGAAGATGGCGTAGCAGTGGATGTGGAATTCCAGGTAGCCTGCGTTTGAGTGAGGGTACAAGCTCTGGTTTTGACGGCTAACAAAGGAGCAGTTAATGGAAGAGAATCGACCATAACTGCTGTAGCGACGCCACTTGTCAGACCACTTTACTGTGCGCGCCGAAGCAAGCGGATGGCAAAGGAGCGGTTCCGAAGTAATGGACGCGCTTAAATGGGGAGGATTGAAGTACAGGACAAGAGGCCTCTGATGAGCAAGGACTACCTCTTTCTTCATGCCGAGTCAAGCGAGGGGGGAAATAGCGTCTAAGCAATTCCGATATATCAACTTGAATCCTGCTGCTGCTGCTGCTTCTGCCTCGCGCTGCGCTGGTTTCGCTTTCTTCTGCACTAGCGAGTCGTCCCGACTGGCAGTAATTACAGGCTGGCGAATCATCATGGCCTGGTCCTGGACGCGCCGATCAACTAAGTTTTGTCGACAGACGTGTAATGCCACCTGAATCTTCGCCATTTTGGAGATATATGAAGGTTCAGGCTGAAACAATCGGGCAAGAAACCATCGCAGCGAGACATGGATTACCTCGTCAGCTTCCCGGCCCAAAGTCAGGGAGCCGTGTCTGCCATGGGCCTGCCCCTTCCACGGCGCGAGCTCAGGCTTGGACGTGTGTCTGGACACCGTCAACCAAGACGCCACTCACGAGAGGATGGGCGTCTCCGTCTCGCACAATCTCCAGAGCGGATGGTGCAGAGGCGGTGAGAGGGTTTGAGGATGTGTCGGTATTTCCGACTTTCTCGGCTGGTCCAGCGGCATGAAGATATGTCTCATTATGGATCTGGAAGGGAACTTATTCTTCCTCTGAAGTGTTTGTGGCCTCACTTTAGCTTTTCCTGCGCCTCCCCTCTTTGGCTAAGGCATAAGTGTCATGATTTTGGCCCCGACATAACCACCAACACGCCCAACGCACACCATCACCACCATCAACGCCTCGCGCATCAACTGCCAGGCCGTACCCATTGTTTGCTTGTTTACTTGCCATTCCAGCGTGCGGGAATCTCGGGCGAGGTGTGCAATTCGACCGCTGTCACTACGACCATTGCCGGCCCGGTCCAAGCGCAGCGACAGGCTTAGCCCACTAAATGCGCTTTTTTTGCAAATCGGCTACTCCATCCTTCGCACAAACACACACAGACTCGCTTTCAATTCTTCCAAATCTGGCCGATCTCCTCGCTCAAGAAAAGGCCGGACACGACTGAAATATCACCCAGTATCCTCTGCGCCCTCTCCACCCGCCAGTCATCCGTTGGGCCAACTTGACTGTCTCATCACATTCCACTTATTACACACCTCTCCCTGCCCTTACCAGTTCCTGCACTCACTGGACGAACATATGCTCCCGCCGCTGAGTTTCGAGTTGGTCGCAACGTGCTCCGTAAGTCTTGACAATCCGGAGATACTCCGATGACGGTCGTCCGTCAAAGAGCAACCCCTGTCCCACTTCTCCCCTTCTGACCGTTTCCTGCTCCTTTCCAGACTAACACCGCAGACCACTAAAGCGCGAGCGGCCACCCTAACCTTACCTCATGGATCGCTGTCACTTCCGCTCTTTATGCCCGTCGCAACGCAAGCCTCACTCAAGGGTCTTACAGCGCAGCAGTTGGAACAGGCCGGGTGCCGATTATGTCTCAACAATACTTACCATCTCGCATTGAAGCCGGGCCAAGCAGTGCTGGATAGTGTGGGCGGAGCACACATTTTACAGGGGTGGAAATACAATTTGCTGACGGATAGTGGCGGGTATGTCTAGAGTCATCGGCAATCCCAGCCCTACACCTTTCTGCTCGCAACTAACTTGCACCTCTATCCAGCTTCCAAATGGTCAGCCTCCTGAAACTAGCAACTGTAACGGAAGAAGGAGTTCGATTTAGGAGTCCCCACGACGACTCTCCCATGTTACTCACCCCAGAACACTCCATCTCCCTCCAGAATAGTATCGGCAGTGATATTATTATGCAGCTCGACGACGTCGTGGCCACCACCACGCCCGACCGCCATCGCATCGAAGTTGCCATGCAGCGAAGCATCCGCTGGCTCGATCGCTGTATCGCAGCCCATGCTAAGCCTTCTAGCCAGAGCCTCTTTTGTATTATTCAGGGCGGCTTGGATCTTGAGTTGCGGCGGGAATGCTGCAAGGAGATGATAAAACGTGATACGCCCGGAATAGCTATAGGAGGCTTAAGTGGTGGCGAGGCAAAGAGCGACTACTGTCGAGTTGTTGATACCTGCACAGGCCTTTTACCGGCGAACAAACCACGATATGTAATGGGGGTTGGTTATCCCGTGGATCTTGTCGTCAGTGTCGCACTTGGCGCAGATATGTTTGACTGCGTCTGGCCTACACGCACAGCTCGTTTTGGGAATGCCATTACAAGTCATGGAGTCATCAACTTACGAAATGCCAAATATGCCGCCGACTTGACGCCTTTAGAAGATGGATGCCAGTGTGTTTGTTGTCGGCCTGTCTCCGCTGGCGATGACATTGAGGATGGCGGGAGCGGTCTTGGGATCACGCGGTCCTTTGTTCATCACCTGGCTACCAGAGAGACCGTTGGTGCTCATCTCCTCACCCTACATAATGTATGGCACATGTTGACCCTTATGCGGCATATACGGCAGGCTATTGTCGAGGATCAATACCCTTCCTTCCTCAGGCAATTTTTTGCCGACCAATATGCAGCTGATAAAACCGAGTATCCCGATTGGGCTGTGAAAGCCCTCCGATGTGTCGGTGTCGACTTGATGGATGTTTGAATGTGACTTGGTGAGCGCCAATCCGAAACATAACATATCCCTAGATGATAGATCCCATGTATGAATGGCATGATTTTAGGATCATGCGGTAATATTTGCATTTTAGCGTTCATGACACGATCTTCAACCACCGGAATAGAGCCGTGAAGATCTCATCTAGGTCATATATTTTAACTGAAAAGTCATCCACCTTGTACCCAGATAGTCTCAGGTTTTTGGCGTGGGGGGGGAGAGCCGAACGTGTAAATCATTTCATCGAAAATAGCATTGAGCAATCCTCCTCGGCAGGGACACCCCTGGTGGAAGGGAGATGAGGCCTAAATTAGCGAGTGACTGGTCCGGCACAAGTGGACCTTGATTATCCCAAGCTGTGCCGATGGCTGTGATATGAAGGGATCAGCCTATGATTACGAAAGCTAGGCATTGGAAACCCTAGCGTACTTGGGCTACGGGGCTACCCGAGACTCGGCCGGTGGCCCATGGGATATGACACAGCGTGGCAAACACGGCCTGGCTTGACGTCATTTATTATCCTGGTAGTGGCGTGACAGCTGCAGGGCTAAATTCGATGATCATACAGGAAATCAGGCTACCTTGCCGTCACCGTGTCCCTTCAGGGGTTGGCTGCAGCCAAAGCTAAAGCCCGCTAGACCTCAAGCATAAATAAAGATCTGGCCATCTCGTCATCTCAATTTCAAGCTCTCTCCCCGACGAATCGTGGTGAGAGGAGCAAATTTACAGTCGCAAGTAGAGCAAGGTCTTAATCCTGATTCATGCATCGGCACTCCTGTCAATAGTCTAGTATATGGAAATGTTATTAGAAGGTCAACGAAAACTACAGAGTTATGACGACATAACCATAAACACTCCTCATTTTCAAACCCGAATAAAGGGCGTAATTAAAGTAAATTATCTCGCGACATCATGGCGCTCAATTTCCTCGACGAAACCCCTCACAGCCGTCACAATATCGGGTCTCTAGAGCCCTGATGGTGACGTCTTTTGTCTCGAAATCAACTGACCACTTTAGGTGGCCCCAACTCAAATTACATTACAGTGCAAAGTTAGCATGATGGGAAACCCCTTGCCATTACAATAATACACATCTTTCAACCTAATAAAATTGAACAGGAGCGTCATTTCCAAATAGATTCCGTCGCGCTAGTCCTGGGCCCTCGGTCTTAGATATCCTTGACCTTTACCACCACTACTGCTGTTCCCACAGTGACTAGGAAATGCTTAAGCCATCATTGATCCAAAATCAAACTCGTCATCTGTACAGCATCGTCAGGGCTGTTGATAATGGGATAGTCGGCCAGATAAAAGTTTGAGTAATCGACTAAAGTGACTTACACTGATTGTAGATAAGAATTGGGCTTTACGTAGTCATTTCTCATTTGAGACTCAATATTTCTCAAGTTTACAGAAATCGTTGGATTTCAAAGGGCATGCTTCCCAATTCAAAATTTGTCTTGGTAGAAGTGAATTACTTTCCAATGGCAGGCTATTTTCTAAGTACTGTATCATGACAAGAGATTCTTCAAAGTTTCGACCCTTGAAAAGTAGCAACGCGTCTATCTTGCGTTTACAATGATAATTGATTCTGACTATCTAGTGATCCAAGGTCCTCTGTGACCCAGGTCACTCGATGAATAGAGCTTCTATTTTCCTTTCATAAAATGACTATGAAAAAGCTTCCGCAGGCATTAGCCCTCTGTACAATACATCTGTATTAGCAGCGAACAAACCTTTTCGCGCGGGAAATTATCCTACAAAACTTGTAGCCTTAACAAGAAGAGGCCTAGACGCTGGAGCTATTCGGGTTACGTGTACCGATCTTCGTCTCTCTTCCTCGTAACAAATGGGGCCCTGCTAATGCTCTAGTAAAGTTAGCATGCTCAGCCCTAAAAACCGTTCTTGCACTACCTGTTGATAAGAAAAAACGCACATCAAGAAGCGCTAAGAAGTCTACATGGCTCTATGCAGAATATCCCTGAACGATACAAGAGCTTAGAACTGGATCAAGTAATCACACATGCTTTGAGCCCCTGGCCTGCATAGTGCAGTGGTACATCGTCTAGGCCGTCTCTCATAAAGATTCTAGACAAATTGGACACTTATCTTTTTTGGAACAGGAGATCACTAGACTCAATCCATCGAAATCAAACCATATCTCTCGCCATTTTTTTTATATCATCTAATGTGTATGCAGCTATCTAGCTATGACAAATGACCGGTGCTATGTATACATGATGGATGACTCTTTTGACGTTAGACACTCATACTCTGGATTTCATTCGCAAATACCACTATGAGGTATGCTTGCTTACACAAACAGTCGACCCTCCTCCGAAAGTACCCACCAAAGGGAATTTCAAAACCTTTGATTATCCATGCATACCAGCGCCACGTATTTCTCGCCATGATCGTTCGAATGGGTGGTAAAGGTTTTAAATATCCCTTTGGTAGTAACTAACGGAGGAGGATCTACTACTATTCGTAAACAAATCTACCACATAGTAGTGTTTGCAAGTCATTGCTATCAATTTGTAAACGTTGTTGGCTCAATCTCGTATTATAACTGAATCACTAAGGTTCTCTAGGTAGGTTCTGGGGACTAATCTCAACACCTGTCACTGGTGTCCCCTACGAACCTCCAGCTCTCACTGTAGAGTTTGCAGAGCCGAGATTGAGTTATAAAGTCCTCACTTCGATGATGATTCCCAATCGCTTTCGCGATCTGTATCGTCTCCATCTCTCTACACATTCCCCTATCACCATTATCATGAAGCTAACTACGATCAGATCCGATGGTAGAGTCGGAGCCCTACTCATCACCAACCCTTGATCAAGGAGGAAAAGCCATCCGATGAGTTTCTGGAGCATACCCAGCACCCGATACGGAGAAGGTGGATTGGATCAAATCGGCCTCGAATGTTACAAAGAAAGGAGATATAGATAAATATGCGCACCTCATGTGGTCCCGGTGTCTAGGCCTCGCCTGGCTGGGGCAGCAGGTTTTTTTGAGACATTTTCCTGTGCACGCAGTTTGCATTGCTGCCTTTTTTTTGGGTAGAAGGTTTCGTGGACAAGGTGCCCGAACGCCGCGGTAAACAATGAACTGAATGGCTATTTATCAAGGGAAATTTACCAATGATCTTTCGAATAACATGAGAGGCAAGGAGCACTGTACAAGGTGTGGCCTGGGTCAGAGAGGAGCCTAATGTGCTAGATAGTCATAGACTCAAGTAGTACAATAAACACCCAAACAAACCAGAAAGCCCGCCTTTCTTATGTAAATGTATGCACGGATCATCTTTAATGCCTGCATAACTCCCAGTTATAAAATATTACATGACCGCATGACTAGAACTGACTACAGTTAACTATACATCCGCTCGCTCAATTCATTTTACTGTCCTATCTGAATCTATGACTATGTAGGACATCAGATCCTCTCTGTCTACAGGCCAAGGATACCTATACCAGTAGTATATCCCCTCCTGTGATTCCCATGCAGCTCCCCTCAATCAGTAACACCCCTCACAAGTCCTCATTCGATCATACACTTAGAGGAGCCCTTTGACCTTCATTATCTCCCCTCTCTAGCCAACGAAACGATAGCTTTTTGCGGGTGTATGGCAGCCGGGGATAAATCGCAAAGACCACTTGGTGCAGAGCTCTCCTAATACCGACATTAGGACTAAATCCGAAGACATATTGATCATTCTGAAGCGTCCAAAGAGGCCGGCTAGCTGGGCGCTGCAGACTTGTGCGTCCCTCGGAAAATTCACCCTCTGCCTTTCTAGCCTCCTTCCAACTCCTTCCCGAAGGTCGTGCTGAAAAGTCAGAAAAGTCTTGACAGAGCGTGATTGCTGTGCGGTACCTTAGCCCAACTTCTTTTATACCGTCCAGGGCGCTGGGGAGTGCCGTTGACTCATCGACAATAGAAGCCCTCCTAGCTAGCCAGCCGAAATCTCGGTCTTGACGCCCACAAACGTTCCAAAGTTGAAATCACCTCAAATAGATCAGTCCCAGCATGGTCTTCAGAGATCTATTTCCTCTCTCGCTTCAAATCTCAGCCGCCTGTCCCTCCTCAGGATGAATAATCCCATTAGAGCCACAGTCATTCATAAGCCGAGACTCAAGCTTTGTAAACTTTGACTTAATTTCCTCCTTGCTGCTATACGTAGCGTTGTAAATTTGTATTGTGTGATGGTTGGTAATAAATGAGGCTATCCCCTGTTTGCAATGGGAGTGACGCCTTTATCGGTCATTGAGGCGAGATGATTTGTGGTTAGAATGAGATCGGGGATCCCCGTGAGAACTGCGAGACCGACATTGATAGATGTTGCCGATTTTAGATATGCTTGAGCTTGCTTTAGACCTCGATTCGGTTGCGAGTCTCGTTGGCTACCCCACATATTCAAAGCAGGAGGACGAAGGCTGAACACCTGTTAGTGGTGTCCTCTACGAACCTGGGAGTGAAATATTCTCCCAGAGCCGAGATTCAGTCACGAAAAAGGGTGGGATGAATTTTAAATGATGGATTTTCGACTTGAAGGAGTTGCACTCGATATTTTGGTCGAAAAATTAGTCGGCAGAGATTTCACAGCCGAAACAAAGTTGAACAAAAACTCATCAACACTAACATACGATTCACGAATGGACTTGGGTGTGTCTGGGGGTCGTATTCAAACATCTGATAGCTCTTTGACTCCTTGTATATTTGCGACGAAGCATTTCTCAGTCGATCCTACACCTGCGACCTACCTCCATACCCGTCCGATCACCTACCTACACACGCTCTAATGAGGAAAGTCATGATGGAAACGGGACGTGTTCAAAGGAGGAAGAAGAGGGAAGATACACCGAGTGGATTACACAAATCCCCAATGACGAAAACAACCCAACATTACGATATGAAGGTGCAAGGCTAGAGCAACGATGAGATCTTGGACGGCATTTATATTTCGGAGTCAACGAGGATGTCAAGGGCT